TCTCTCTTTCGTTATTGGGCCATGAATGCCAAGAGCTCTGCTTTTGATATGATTTTGTTGTGTCTTGTTGAGCTTTGAACTTCAACAAAAACGAATCGATCAATACGAAATCTTATGATTCATGTGACAGAAAGAATAAAAATCTTCAAATGTTGGACAATTAATAGGAACAAAGCCCTGGAAATCCCAGTCTTTACGACAACATGTAGCTTTAGAATGAAAAAGATAATGGCAAGGGGATATTCATAATTTAAACTATGTCATTTCCTGTTTTTACAGTATATTCATCCTTTTATTTAGTAGCTTACAATCAATTCACAGCTTGTGATTCTTAACTATATGTATGATCTCCTTTGTGCTATATATATGATCTCCTTTGTGCTATTCTGACTCTGCTTTGATTTCACCTTTTTCTCTCCTTTGAAATCAGCTTGTTCCCCTTGCATAAAATTTAGTTTTTTTCCTATTTGAATATGTTAATAATTTTTAAATTTGAATTTACTTTGTTGTCCTTCGAATTAAGTCTACTCTCCTTTGACTTTACTTTACTGCTCTTTGAATTCGCTACATTGCTCACTTCTCAAATAAAACCCCCCCCCGCCTCATAAATAACCTAATAGTGTTGATAGGGGCGTTAAACCCTTACAATTCAATTACTTTGCTTAGTTTGCTTGGACACGTCATCTCTGGCCCAGAAGTTGACATGCAATGACCCAACACTGCTTACGGCCATTACTAATAATAGCTGCCGTTTCACACTCTGTCATACTTTTTAGGCCAGTCCATATCTTGATGTTATCGGCCTATGATTGAAAGCGTGCTATTAATTTGTATTTGCTGCTGGGCTGGGAACTGTAGGGTGAAAGATAAAGAAAAATTTGACAGAACTATTAAGAAAGCCAGCAAGATCTCTGGACATGATTTTACTTGAATTGATGAAATGTATAACACCACAAGTATAAAAAAGTAAAAAAGCATTAAAAACAACCCCTTTCCACGCCAATCAGATCACACAGCGGCAGATATGTACCTCTAAAAACAAAGAAAGGAAGGTATAAAAGAAGTTTTTACCATTTAGCTTTAAGACTATTGTCAGAATACGCATAGATGTGTGTTGCTCTTTAGAGTATGTATCTATAACTCCAAAGGTCTTGTAATTAAATTCTTGTATGTGGTGTGAATGATGCATCTGATGTGATATGTACATTTTGTCAGCTTTACTTCTTTTTTCATATTGAATTTTAAGGGGAGTAATAAATAATTTAAATTTTTTAATGTATACCTGCATGTGTTTTTACGGTCCTGTACAGCCAAGAAAACATTCCCTCTCTGATAATAATAAAGCATTTATCTTATCTTATCTTATCTGTATTACCTGTATTACCTGTCCTGGGCAACAACGTCATTGCACACCGGACAGGTCCATAAGTGCTCAGTTCCCCCCAGCACCAAAGCCCGCAAGGTATTCATACATTAAAAAATCTTATCTTATCATATCTTATCTTATCTTTACTTACTAAATAACCTTCTCTGCGTTGTCCAGGAGCTGACGTCAGATATCAGCATCACGGACGCTAACGGAAAGAGCCAGCTGGCCGTGGACGTGTTCGCCAACTCCCTGACCTTCATGAAAAAGCATCTCCTGCGGGCCATCGGCACACACCTGGGCTACGACCCTCACCCTGACACAGTCAGGTGGGTGCTCACGGTGCCAGCCATCTGGGACGAGAACGCCAAGCAGTTCATGAGGGAGGCTGCACATAAGGTGAGATGGAGAGGTTTGCTTGTAAATGACTTTTTATGCACCCTTCTTCACAATTTATTGATAAATAATAATAGTAATAATAATAACAATAATAATAATGATGATGGTAATAATAATGATAATAATGATGATGATAATAAAAATAACAACAATTAAGAAGAACAGCAAAAACTATAATGCAAATAATAACTACGAACAATAATAATAATGATGATGATGATGATGATGATGATGATGATGATGATGATGATGATGATGATGATGATGATGATGATAATAATAATAATAATAATTTTTTAAAATAATAATAATAGTATTAATGATTAATTTCACTTATATAGCATATTTCCACTAAGAAAGTGCTCAATGCACTGTACAATAACTCAAAGAGCACGAACAACATACAGCTCCTGTCATATAGCAATCCTGTCTCTCCCTTTCATCTCTCTCTCTCTCTCTCTCTCTATATATATATATATATATATATATATATATATATATCAATATCTATCTGTCTATCTATCTATCTATCTATCTATCTATCTATCTATCTATCTATCTATCTATCTATCTATCTATCTATTTATCTATCTATCTATCTCTCCCTCTTTGTCTCTCTCACTCTCTCTCTCATATATATATATATATATATATATATATATATATATATATATATATATATATGAATATATCTATCTCTCGCTTTTCTTCTCTCACAAAAAAGAGAAACAAAACGAACTTGCACTCACAATTTAGATTATGTGAGAAAAGAGGATGATTGTCATGGCCTTGTCTCTCAGTACTAATAATCGGATGGTGTGGGATGGGAATGCGATGGAATATAATTGGAATGGAGTCGAGATGGGGTTGAATATGATTCAGGTAGTGTAGGAACTGGATGGGAAATAATTGGAAAGGAGTGGGGATAGGATGGGATATAACTGGGGTGGGGATGGGAAAAGATATAACTTGGGATGTATGAGGATGGTATGTGATATAATTGGGATGGTTTTGTGATGGGATGGGACATAATTTAGATTGGTATAGGATGGGATATTTTTGGGATGGGGTGGCATGGGATGGGACATAATTGGGATCGATGGATGTGGGATGGGTGTGGGATGATATATTAGTGGGGTCATGTGGGGATGGAATGGGATATAGTTAGGGTGAAGTGAGGATGGGATGGAATATAGTTGGAATGGGACGGGGATGGGGTGGTATATAACAAGGGTGATGTGGAGATGGGATGGGGCATACATGCAGTGGAAATGGGATAGGATGGGGAGGGGGTATAATTAGGATTGGGGGGGGGGGGTTATGGTATGGGATTCAGTGGGGATGGGGATGGGATATGCGGGCATCTAGTTGTATGTGCTTTTAAGCCGACATTATGCTCTGCATGGTAATATATTATATCTGAGCTGAATAAGTTGGTAAAAGCACTTAGACTATTCCTTCAAATAGTTTTTCTACATTTGGCTTTTTCAAACTTAATCCTCTAGTTGTTGTGGTTTTTGCCAGCACAAACTAACAAGTCCTTTGTTAATGAGATTCCCTTTCTTTCATATAAATTCTCTCCCGTGGCTCTATAAATAAATATCTTCTCTTGAGTTGATACTCATTTACTTTAATCATCAATGCTTGTTCTCTGTAAGTATTTTCAAAGATACAATGAGTGGGTGGTTGGCGGGTGCACTGGTGCAGTTTGCTCCTTTTTTCCTATCAAACATCTATCGTTCATGTCGCTCCTTCTTCTTATGTTTGTATGTGACTCTCTGGTGACATTTCTAATCTCGGTACTTATATGACCTATTTGTGTTCTAAATGCTGTAAGACTCTTACTAAAAGTAGAAGGTATAGGGAATCTGGCAGAAGAGTGAACCATGACGTCATCGTTCCTTCCTCAGGGCGGCCTGATTGAGAAGCCCAATAGTGAGCAGCTGGTCATTGCCCTGGAACCTGAGGCAGCCTCTTTGCACTGCCGGAACCTGCCGGCCACCGACTTTGTGGGTTACAAGGACAGTGGATCTGCCACGCCAAGCTTCGAACCTGGGACCAAATACTTAGTTGTGGATGCTGGAGGTACGAGGGAAAGATTGTTTCAGGATTTAGTAGATACTTTATAGTTTTGAGATTTGCTCCTTTTCTACACAGTTAAGGGTGTGTAAGAAGTACAGGCTTCCGAGTTGTCATTCTTCTTTAAGTGGGGTGGATATAATGTTATTACATTTATGTGTGCTCTTGTGTAAATTACTGATTTTTGTTTTGTTTCTCTTTCGGATTGAAATGTTTAAAAGAAATGTTGTTTCAAACCTCTGTGTGCTATGTTAAGTGAGTGAAAATAATGGAGACAATAACCTGATTTTTTATACTGAAACAGACAATTTTAACCTTACATTTTACAACACGGCTTTTAGTTATAACTACACGATAATGAGATTTTTAAAATATTAAAATTGGTCTGAGTCAGACGGATGAATAATGAGATGTTCTTTTTTTTGCTATGGTTTTCAGGTGGGACTATAGACGTGGTTGCCCACAAGATCAGAAAAGATGGGCGTATCAGAGAACTGTTCCGTGCCACTGGGGGTGCTTGGGGCGGCACCGTTATAGACAGACAGTTCCAGAACCTTCTGGAGAGTATCTTTGGCAAGGAATTCATTGAAACATTCCAGAAAGAGTATCCAAAAGACTTTGTGGAGCTGTTGCAGGATTTTGAGATAAAAAAGAGAGGAGAGTGCGATAGCATCCGAGTTTCACTTCCCTACAATTTTTGTAACTTTAAACATAACGGAGTCAGTGTTCAGCAAGCTATTAAGACTTTTTCATCGGAGATAGGAGGAAGTGACATAAAATTTTCTTCTGGGAAACTCGTGATGTCCTCGACAAAAGTTAATGAGTTATTCAAGGATGCACTGGATCAAATTAATGACCATGTGGCATCGCTGCTTCAGAGACCGAAATGTAAAGATCTGCAGCACATATTCCTGGTTGGTGGCTTCGCGGAGTCCACCCGTTTGCAGAGTTCTCTCCGTGAGAAATTTGGAGAAAGAGTCACCATCCTCGTGCCGGAAGAAGCGAGTCTGTCCGTTGTGAAAGGAGCTGTGGCGTTCGGTCACGACCCGAGTGCTATCTGCCAGAGAATCTGCCGCTTCACGTACGGTGTCGGGAGTTATCTTCCCTTTGAAGAGGGCGTTCATAGAGATGACCTCCGGGTGAATTCTGACGGGATGGATTTGTGCAAGCATATCTTCCAGACGTGGGCAGAGGCTGGCGAGGTCATAGGTTACAATGAAATTTGGCGGGAGACATACACGCCTATCATCAACAACCAGCGAGGCATCATCTTTGAGTTCTTTCGATCATCCAACAAAAAAGTTCAGTACACAGATGAGGAGGGGGTGGAGAAGTGTGGGTTTCTTGTGGTTGAGATGCCGGATCCCACTGGAGATCGAGAGCGAGCTGTTGACCTTGAAGTGACCTTTGGCGGAACAGAGATCAAGGTCGTAGGCTATGACCACACAAGTACAACCAGGCATGAGACGTATATTGACTTTTTGTCTACATAAGGATTCTTATTGCTTTGTAATATGACAAAGTTCAACATCTTTGTAACTGCTGTGGCACTCTTCTACCCTCGTTATCATGACTCCATATATTCGAACACATGACTGTTTAGAGCTTAGTGTGCAATGTTCAACCAACACTTTATTTGGAAGACAAGGCAATACCCCTCCCCCCCCCCGTTCTTTTTTCCCCTGAATCTTTTGCCTTTTGCTTTTTGCAAACTTACATTTCATCACACACACACACACAAAATGTGAGGTGGCGTCGGTGGCCGCCTTGTGGTTAGGCAACCGGACCTGTAATCGTGAGATTGTGGGTTTGGGGGATCGAGCCTCTGCTCGGTCCGACGTTGCGTTCTTAAGAAAGGCACTTTCCCAGAATTTCTTAATTGTCTCCGGTTCTTTCGGAGATGAACGTTACATTTGGAGGTCCCGCTTCTTAAGTAACCTAAAAGTGTTGATAAGGGTGTTGAACCTATAGGCTCCCATTTCACATCTTTCAAGAAATGTGAACCAGTGTTTACAGCATACATAGAGTCTTAAAAAATAAGGCTAAAATAGGCTTGTTCCTCTGCCACACCTTTAAAATTACTTTATAGCTGGTTGTACACTTATGCGCCTCTCTTCTGATTCTGAGGGGTTTGCTATCTGGGGCAAAGATAAAGGGCCTGGTTTTTCAGAGTTTCTGTCCACTTGGCACGACCTTTATTAATGGCCGAATCAAATAATAATACGTTTGTTTTTGTGGTCACATCAGGTCCAACTGAGGAGGACATCATTTTCAAAATTAGAACAAAAGTGTAGCTTGTTTTCTTTCTTTTCTTCTTCTTTCCAGACTCTTGTCTGCAAATTCATCTTCCCCTCCCCATCAATTCCACCAATCGTTGTCAAACCACCCCATTCCCGTCCGCACACAAATCAAGTCTCTCTAAAAATTGCCTTGTATTTTTTGCCTTGTCTAGTTATGTTAAATGTTATGTTCTGATCAATTTTTATTTAATACAAAGCCGTGCTGCTATGGATGTGAATGCTATTTAGTGTTCCCCGCATTAACCGCTTCATATGCCCTAAGTCTTTAGCAGGAAGTCTGTCGAGAAGTAGACATACAGACCAGATACTTAGGTGCAAAGTAACTTTTATTTCTAATATAAAGTAGGAATTGGTAACATTAGAACAATACAACCCATCTTCTCAGTGTCGTTAACACAGTATGCTCATAGAAGGAAGGGTCTGCCACCCTTAAGGCTGAGCTATGGAAAGATTGAAAATTATGAAAGAATTCGATTTTTAGTAGATGTGCAGGGGTCACTCAGGTTCAATATCTAGCCTCACCGTAATGTCAGAATATCTAGATTTGGGGGGTCTAAGCCATTCACTCCTCCGGCTCATTCTGTGAGAAGCTCTTTCCATTAGAAACAATCACAGCAACAGCATAATCGACAACGTTGTTAACATCATCATCAACAACAACAACAACAGCAACAACAACAACAACAACAACAACAACAACAATAACAACAGCTGCAGCAACAACAACAGCAACAGCAACAACAACAGCACTCATCTTCCACATCACATCCTTAGTCTCAACCACAAGTTCATGCATCTGGAACTGACAGTAGGCTTATTATAATGTCATCACTGGAATAATAAAAATCTTCATGCCTTGTTTCTAGCTGCAAAAAAGCCAGCTTTATCGAAAGCTTCCATATTTTGACTGTTTGACATGATACTGACAGTATTTTCTATGTCATCACACTGCCCTCAGCTCTACACTTTTAATCATTCGCTGCTATAGACTATTAATATGTGCAAGTATACTACTTTTCCTACTGCCGTTTTAGATGATGAGTAAAAATCAGAAGGGATGTACTTGTTCACCCAGCTATATTTAGAATATATTCTATTTTTTCATACATATTGCGTGATTGCCTTTCTTTCATGTAAAGAACCATTGCTACTTTTTGGTCTTACCACCATATTATTTGTTATCTAAGCTAGGCCTACACGTGAACTATACATGTACAATGTGTGAGAGAGATATGAATGTTGCAATTTATTCTTTAAAAAGGATCACTTGACTATGGTTCTCCTTTCAATACAAGCGTCAATGTGTACACTTCCCCAAAAAAATTGCTGCTTATCGTTTTTTAAAACTTGCAAATAGAGGCTTGTTGAGTTAAACGTTCATCAGTACTTTCAATCCTGTCATTTGGTTGTGTCCCAAGAGTGTCCGGGGGTATCATACTCACGGCTGATAACATTGTGTGTATTTTTTCTGTCAAGGAGTTTGTTAATGCACTACAGGTACTCGTACAAAACACAAAGCAATGTATTATTTACAGTTTTGGTTGACCCTCCTGCCCGACCTCTCTTCACCCCACTCGCTTTCTGCCAACATAAAAAAAACTCAATTGAGCTTCTGTCCAAGATCTGAAGCCTGCCTCCTAAAGGTTCCAAATTGGGTAGATAGTAAAACACTAACATGAAAAAAGAGCCATTGTCCCTAATTTTGTTGAGAAAGAAGGAAACCGTTCAAAACGATTTCGATGTAAATTTTGACAAGAAGAAGAATCTGAATAATAATA